GACCATAAAATGTATGGCCCACAAGGAATGGTACGGCCATAGGCCACACCTCATACAGTGGAAACAAGCCAATCAGGAATGGACAACCCAGCACCTAGAGCTATCAAGCCAATAAGGGTAAAACCTGAGAAGGAACAAGGGGGGAGGGAATGGGTGTGTGTGGAGGGGGGGTGGGGGGCAGTGACCAGAACCTTATAAAAGAAAGACCCTTGCCTATAGTCCACGGACATTCACTTTCGAATGGCCCCTCTCTGTAAAGAGAGCTTTCATACTGTTCTTCTTTCTGATCTTAAATTCGAATACACTTTTACCTGCTACTCATTTTGTGTCCATCTCTTCATTCTTTGAAGCGGCGAGACAATGAATCCCAGGTGTGGAGGTAAAGAATCCTGCAACACTAACGTGCACTCCGAGGAAGGGGCCCACGGCTCCATCTTTGGGGATGCCATTATCTGTGCCACCAAACTGAATTAAACGTGTGAAGAGCCTTGCAGAACCCTCTGAATGTCTCAGGTGCTCATGCCTTATGGATCCCATGCCGTCCTCAGATATACGGTAACAACTCTCCCCGGCCGCTCTGGTTCCTTTGACTCTCCCCCTCCCCTTCTTTAGTTGTGGCCCCCTGTAGGTTCAGCTACCCACTGTGTCTGCTGTGCAGGACGCAAACACAAGTGCTGCAGGGTCAGGCTTTATTGGATACACTGAAGGCTGAATGGGGTCTCGGGTGCCCTTCGTCCTCTTCAGCCAGGAGAGAGCAGACTCCATAAGGGGCTCCCAGGGTTCAAGGCTGGAGAACACACCTGACCTCCGGCCAGCCAGCCCTTCAGGGAGTCTCGGGGGCTCCCTGAGTTCTGGAGCCTGGTGGGGGCAGTGGGGTTCAGAGGAGGTACTCCAGGGAGCCTCCTTGTCTCTGGAACTAGAGTGGCGACTTTCGGAGAATGGGCTCTGAAGAGGCAGGACTCTTTCGGGCAGAGGACGACCTGGGCTTCAGGGAGACAGTGGCCTGTTTTGGTGCCTGCGGTAAAGGCCCTGAAAAGCGCATAGAGTGTGTAGATCTGAGGCTCCTGGTGGGGGAGGGTGGGCCCCGGGCTGGATCTGCCCGCGCCTGAGCCACCGGTACGTGAGCTGCTGGGGCCTGGGACGCCTGGGTTTGATACCCACGGGCCTGAGCGGCCTTGCCCTGTGGACCTACTTCCTCTGGCCTTCTTTCTGGCAACAGGTGCAAGGCCCTGGCCTGGCCCCGAGGCAGGCAGAGGCCGAAGCCAATGCCTAGGCGGAGTGGTCCGGATTCCTGGCCCTGCGCACAGGGCAGTAGTTGGGGGAAGGCAAGCAGCCGGGGTCCGGTCTTGTACCTGGAGATGGGGCACGTGGGGCTGCGGGGCTTGAGACACACCAGGCATATAGGATATTCTACAACTGGGGCCTGGCCAGTTGTGCCTAGCCACAGGTGCTGCAAAAGCAGTAGCCGCAGGTCGTGTGCAATGCGGCGGTGCCCCAGATGGGCCACTAGGGCCTGGGCCAGGGCTCCCGGGTCCATGAACTCTGCAGGGTCCCTCTGGCTTGCCACGCATCCCCCCACCACCCCAGGGGACCCGGTGTCCCTGTACTGGTGCCAGGGCCATGTCTGCCTCTTCCCGTGGACCCCAGGAGAAGGAAGGCTGGGGGCCGGGGAAGTGACAGTGGAGCTGGGGTGGTACCCTGGGTTGGAAGGAGACAGACGGTGAGAGTGGGGGAGAGAGTCGTTCTGTAGCTGAGTGGGAGAGGAGGAAGAAGTAGGAGGAAGGGAGGGGTATAGCTGGCGGGTGGGAGAGGAAGAGCGTGTGAGGGAGAGAGAGAGGTAATTCTGATGAAAGAAAGTGGGGGAACTTGGGAGGGAGGAAGAGTAGGGATGTAGGACAAAGTCAGAACCTGAGTCAGAGTTGTAGAAATGGGAGCCAGGAGAGTGGGACCGTGGGGGAGGGGAGCAAGGTGGGTGAGAGGGAGGGAGCGACGGCTGGGGAGGCAGAGGCTGCAGGTTGCCAGAAGACAAGTCCACAAGTTGTGAGGAGCCCTGAGGGGGGCGCCCAGGGGGTGCTGTGTTCTGTGGCAGCACCTCGTCCTTGTTTTGAGGCAACATTGCCTTGAATCCAGAAGGGACTGGGGCCTCAAGACCAGAGATTAGAGACCTAGCAGAATCAGGACAGTATCTCGGAGGCCAGACCTGGCGGAGAAATCAGGGCCTTCTGTGCGCAAGTGTGACTCCAGCCTGGTGTCGGTGCTGCTGTTGGTTGAGGACAAGGAGACACCCAGCCCTGTAGCACTAGGCTCTCCGAATGTTCAGGCAGGCACTTGGATCTAAACTTGGCCTCTCACTTTGCAGTCAGCCATTGACGAGGGATATATGGGGATAGAGAATCAGAGCTGCCTCTTGGGAGCTGAGGGGCAGCAGTAATCATCTGGGTGGGCCAGGGAGGAAGAACACAGCCCATGGGACCTGTAGAGAAAGAACGAGAACCTAAGATATTGGGAGAATTGGTCCATTTCTGGCTCTGAAGGCTGATTTACTAAGACCCTGAATCCATGTCACCTTTGGGGTCACAAGAGCTGGAAAAATGCTCCACGGAAAGTGAGAGCCGAGGAGGAGAAGAAGGGAGGTGGGAGGTAGAATGGAGTTGGAGGAGGGGGCTTAAGGATGGCTGCTGAGATGGGACTAGAAATTGGGGGTGTTCTGGTGATGTGAGCTCTTACCAATGAGGGTTCCTCCAGGCTGTTTCGCAAGGCACTTCAGCAATTGAGGGAACCTGGGAGAAAGAGGAACAGTCACCAAACGGTGGATACACCCCCCTCTGTCCCCAGTATCTGTCACCCTAAACTCACTCTGACTCAGATTTCTGTTGGAGCCGTGCCCTCAATGCTCCTTCAGCCAGGAGGAAGTCTTCTGTTACAGGCTTTTGCTGTCCTCAACCTGAATCAAGGATTCTGCAAGCATCCTGGTTTCCTGCCCACTTTGGTTTCCGTGACCCCTCGTCACCCCTAATGCTGATGTCCTCTGGCTCAGCCTGGTCCTGGCTGAGATGGCTGAGCACACCCAGAAACAGCAATACCAGTGGGGCCAGCTGGTGAAAGCCTGTGGAAGACCGGGCTTCGTCTAAGGGGTGGCGTTGCCACCCCCACTGGGAGCCAGGAACCCCATTCCCTGGGGGAAGTTCTCCCTGGCATCTAGTGCCTATGTCACAAAGGTCAGGTGCTGACATAATACACTCTCCTCCTCAAGGCTCTAGGGCCTTCTTTCAGAGATCGTCAAAGGCTGGTCCTTGACAAAACTGAAGCAGACAAAATTCTTTGGGGCACTCGGTCTCCCTTTCAGGCCCCAATCCTCCCCCTGCTCTCTGCCCATATACTTTACATTTCCTACCCCTTCCTACATCCAGGGTCCTCTCCAACCACACAGCCTATGTGGGCCAGGCTCTCCCTTCAATTTGCTATTTTCTTTTGCTTTCTGAGCAGTGCTTGTGCTCTACATTGGTTCCCCCATCTGGGATATACTTCTATAGTTTAATAACTATTTTCTTAGCAGCTTTAATGAGATATAACTCATATACCATACAGCCCACCCATTTAAAGTGTGCAATTCGCTGTTTTCTAGTTTACTCACAGGTTGTGCAACTATCACATCTAAGCATGTTTTTCTTTTTGATGCTATCTACATCTAGATAGATGATAGATATAGATATATCCTAGCGGTGTTTCTCTAGAAAATGGTTTCATTTAAGGTATCTATTTTTATTGACATATAGATTATATATATTTATGGTGATAGATATATAGATATTATAAGAAATTGGTTCATGTATCTATGGAGGCCGAGAAGTCCGAAGGTCTGCAGTCTGCAATTTAGATATCAGGAGAGCCGATGGCATAGCTACCCCAAGTCCAAAGGCCTGAGAACCAGGAGAGCAGATGGTGTAAGCTCCGGTTCAAATCTGAGCCCAAAGGGAAGAGAAAACTGATGTCCCAGCTTGAAGACAGTCAGGCAGAGAGAGTGAATTCTCCCTTATTCTGCCTCTTTTGTTCTACTCAGGCCTTCAATGATCCGACGAGGCTCACCCACATCAGGGAGGCAAGCTGCTTCACTCAGTCTACCGATTCAGACATTAATCTCAGCCAGAAACACCCTCACGGACACACCCACGTTAATGTTTAACTAAATATATGGGCACCCCATGGCCCAATCAAGTTAACACATAAAATTAACCATCACAATCTACAACTGAAAGATTAGATGCCCTTCCAAGGGGCTATGATACCTGTATTAAAGGAGGCTTTGCCCATATCAATATTTCTGATAGTCTTTTTTTCAGGTGCCCTGGAGTTTGTTTGTTTTTTTTAATTTTTTTTTTAAAACGTTTATTTATTTTTGAGACAGAGAGAGACAAAGCATGAACGGGGGAGGGTCAGAGAGAGGGAGACACAGAATCTGAAACAGGCTCCAGGCTCAGCACAGAGCCTGACGCGGGGCTCGAACTCACGGACCGCGAGATCATGACCTGAGCCGAAGTCGGCTGCCCAACCGACTGAGCCACCCAGGCGCCCCTGGAGGTTTTTTTTTTAGTCCAGGGCAAGTCATGATAAATTTAGGAATGAGTAAGAGTCGTGGCTTGTATAAAGTGACAGAAGGGCACTTATGGGTGGTGGGAAAGGAAAACCAGGCAAGATCTCAGACACGTCAGTTTTACGGAGGAGGAAATATGTGAGTTGAGATCCAGCCTTCAGGGATCGAGAGGCTTCCTGGAACATGGGACTTTTAGTGCTAAAACCAAGACAGCTCTGGAAAAACCGGGACAATTGGTCACACTAGAACTTGGGTCTTCTTGGAGAATATTCATGTTCCCCTCGGGGTATGAGAACCCCAATCTGGAGATGGCTGTTCAAACAAAAAACGTCTGTAGTAATTTCAATTTACACTAATGAATCTCTCCCCTAGTTTGTGCTAATTACCCTAATTACTTGGTTTGTGCTTAGTAAACCTTTATGGACTGAGTGAACAGAAGTTCTCCAAGCATTTGGCATCCAAGGTGGAAATGCGATATTGTAACGGACTTGTTTTAGTTTGCTAGTTATTTCCTGTTGTAGATATCATCTACCATGCACACCTCCCACCCTCTGTTTTCTAACCCTGGGCAAGAACACTGTGTATTATTTCCTCCAAATGCTATATAGCATGATCCTTCCAGAAATTTGCAAATGTTTCTTAAGAGGATGGATGGATGAATGAGTAAATTGGTAATTATTTAAGAGAATTTGACCTTTGCACTTTTTTCTTGTCCTTTCTTTTCTGTTTGAGTTGCACATATGATACGGAAGGAAGGGGCTGTTTACAGAACTACCTTGACTATTCTTGGAGAGATCATAATTATAAGAGAGGTGTCAGATAACTGCAGATAGGTAAATAATTTATTCAAAAGGGGGAAAAAGACAAATTCTAGGAGCTCAAATCAGTTTCTAGTTGCTTGCTAGGAAAATTTTATTTTATAATTTCTAACGTTTACTTATTTTTGAGAGAGAGAGAGAGAGTGTGTGCACAAGCGGTGGGGAGGGGCAGAGAGAAGAGAGGGAGACACAGAGTCTGAAGCAGGCTCCAAGCTGTCAACACTGAGCCTGACCCGGAGCGAGAACCCACAAACAGCGAGATCATGACCTAAGCCGAAGCAGGATGCTCAACTGACTGAGCCACCCAGGTGCCCCGGAGGAAAATTTTAAACTGGATTATTAAACAGAATGTATGTGAGCTCTGAGAAAGGAAACTGATGATCACAATGGCCAGAGTTGATTCAAGCAAAACAAATTGTGGAGAACATACGGCCATCTGGAAGTGGCATATATGCTGTGTCATCATGGAAAACAATTATATCTGGCTTTTTATTTTCCAGGATGAGAAATGTGCTCTTGACGTTGCCAGCTAAAACACAACAGCCTAAAGTAAGCGCCAGAATACCAATTTTTATTTTTGGGACAGAGAGAGACAGAGCTTGAACGGGCGAGGGGCAGAGAGAGAGGGAGACACAGAATCGGAAACAGGCTCCAGGCTCTGAGCCATCAGCCCAGAGCCCGATGCGGGGCTCGAACTCACGGACCGCGAGATCGTGACCTGGTTGAAGTCGGACGCTTAACCGACTGCGCCACCCAGGCGCCCCCAGAATACCAATTTTTAAAGAATAGTTCACGCAGACGGGAAATAATTCACTCTATAGTCTCTCTCTATAGTCTAGGTATTTGGGAAGACAAAATGTGATCCGAATCCGCATCATTGACTTACCATTGGAAATCATATGTTGCAGGGACTGACTTATTGCTTTCAACATCATCAGTATCCTCAAATCATATAGACAGACCTGCCTGGGAGCCAGAAAGATGTTTGATGCTTGGTCTCTGAACAAGGGAAGCTGAGAAAAGTAATGAATTAATTGCCTACTAGCACCCAGCTAAGGGGGTTAGTTTCATTCACATCAATAGAAATACTCAAATGGGGGCGCCTGAGTGGCGCAGTCGGTTAAGCGTCCGACTTCGGCCAGGTCACGATCTCGCGGTTCGTGAGTTCGAGCCCCGCGTCGGGCTCTGGGCTGATGGCTCGGAGCCTGGAGCCTGCTTCCGATTCTGTGTCTCCCTCTCTCTCTGCCCCTCCCCCGTTCATGCTCTGTCTCTCTCTGTCCCAAAAATAAATAAAAAACGTTGAAAAAAAAAAAAGAAATACTCAAATAACGTTGGGCAAAGTTCTATCTTTTTTGAACGGTGCTGGAGTGAGCATGATCGGATTTGCCTCCATGACCCTTCTTTTCTTACTCTTCCAAAGTTGACTGACATATTCTTTCAAACTGGCTACTAAGGAGCCTTGTTAGATGGGAATTGAAACCTGCACACCAGTGCTCTGACCTACTGTGAGTTGCTTTTGCAGTTCAGCAAGGCAATATACTTCATCCCTAAGTGTTTGTAGGTACCCACATATACTCCTTGAGTACTTACCGCACATATTTTCCCACGTTGTTTTTATTTCCTACTTTGTAAATGAGTCTTATAACCTGGGAACGATAATAATCCCTATGTATTTTTTACGTTTATTTAGTTAAGTAATCTCCGCAC